CTGAGAATGCAGAATTGCAGGGAAAGAAATTCTGTGAAAGAAGAGCGAAAAAGATGAAAGTGTAAGAAAAAGAAAGATGCAAAAAAAACAAATGTTTCAACCAATTTCTCAGCATGAATTTTATCGATTTTTTCTTTCGTCTCTTTTGCTTTTATTTTACTCTTCATACTTTTCACTCCCAATTCACGTTCCCTGTTATCCTTATTTTTCCCTTTCTTTTCCCATTCCTTTATATGATGTGATTCTCTTTCACGCTTTTTTTCTAAACTTTAACTCTTTTTATCTTCTCTTTCTTTTTTATCTTCTTCTTCTTCTTCTTCACTCCTGTTCCCATTTTACTTAAAGGTAGACTTGCGTTTATTCCTTTTTCTCTTTTTCCTCTTTTTTCCTTCTCTGTCTCTTTCTCTTTTCATTCCCTTTCGAGTTATCATTTTGCGCATGAATGCAAAACCATCATCAGTATTGTTATCATCATTATCATCATAATTATCATCTCAACTTTTATTCCTTCATCATCCTGAGAATGAGAATAGCAACAATTGAAACTAAACTGATTCAAAAATGAGGAATAAAATTGAAAATGAAAAGGCTTTTCATTTCAAACAATATTTTTCATCTTTTTACTCTGATTAAACCTTGAGGTTGTTAACATTCAAAACTTGCAAGAGCTTTTCCTTGTCATCAAGTCATCAAAATCATTGACAGTTTGTTAAATTGAAAACAAAGCAATTAACTTGTGTCATGGAAATAATTTGCTAGAAAATTTTTCAAACTTCAAAGCATTGGTTGAAAGAGTCATTGTCATAGCGGTGAATTATTTGCATGTCTGGAGATATTTTTGTGTTTCGTTTTTTTCGTTGGTAATGAATTAGATTGTTTCATTTTGTGTACAATTTTATGTCAATATTGTTAATTGAGTCTGGAAATGGAAAAGAGAAATTCTTACTTGAATCGAATCCCATGAAACGTTTTCCTTGAATAAAGTTTCTATCTTGATAGTTGTAGGAATGTGATTCACCTAGTGCATTTAAAGGTCCCATTCCGTGACGAAGAGGAGCCGAAGTCTGACCCATACTTTCAGATATATGAGAGGGTGGCGGTGGAGGTAATCCACCTCCTCCAACGCCTTCCATGCTATTACCAAGACTGTTTGATCTCATTCCTCAGAAATGGTTGAAATACAAATGGAATTGTTTCTCATCCAACAATTGCACATTTAAACCACTTCGTACACACAATAACAAATGGTGAGATGAAATCGACGAAAAAAAAGAAGAAGAATGATTGTCAATAAACTGTTACAACAAACGATCCAGGTAAAGTCAAACACTTAATTAGAATGATTTACAAGAGTAACAACAGAATGATAATTTTAACCAATTGACACAAAGTTGATCAAGGTGAATGTCTAATGAAAGGGAGACAAAGAGAGAGAGAGAGAGAAAAGAGGAGAAAAAGAAAGAGTATAAACTAAGTTGAAGTGAATGTGAAAACAGTTAACAACTTGAACTCGTGAGTAAGAACTAAAAATATAATCTGGAAAAGCATGATGAACGATACAAACGATTCACTTTTTCTTCTTTCTCCACAAGCATTGAATCAGATGAATCCGTAGTTACAAAACTGTAGACATTCCCTGTACATTTGCTCCATCTCTTGTTGAACAAAAAAAGACATTAATTTCGTTCCAAACGATAGAACTCAATCAGTCACGCCACCTATCGATTGATATTCCAAGGGTTCTAAAAAGACCAAGGTTGATGATGAGGAGATGAAGACGATGATTTTTTCCCTCTAAGATGAGTCTTGTGGATAGAGTATCTTAAGACATGGAGTAAGACAATGAAGAAAGAGAAGCAAACCAAATTAATGGTCCTGTTTGTTTACGAGTTCATTGAAAATTGACTCCTGTCAACCATATGAGAGTTGGTATATTTACATCTCACTGTGCAGTCAAGAAACATGAAGGAAAAGAGGACACGCGTTCGCGTGTCTACCTCACCAATGTCTTTCAACCTCTGGCTCGTGTCACAGGAAAGTTAACGAATCACATTGACTCAGCAATCAAGTGAGGACTCCTAACAATAACAAACAAGAGACCTGAATGTCTTGAAGGAAGGAGAAAGTCTAAGAGTATCAATAAAATACTTCCGTTTGGTATCTTCTTTCCGCTTTCCGTTACTCTTTATCACCAAAAAAAGCTGGATGACCTCTTCAACTTTACCGTAGACAAGTGAGGCAAAGAGTAACGACCCTTCGATGAAATGGATTGTACGAGCAATGATAAATCCTTCCTTTCGACCATAAGGTTACAAGTGTTTTCCTGTTGTTATTGCAAACTGATATTTCGTCTTCACTCATCTTTTCAAACATTTCAACCTGACCCAGCCCGATTCTAGATTCATTAGCATCATTGAAATCATTGCTTGTTTATAAATCTGTTTCCATTATATGGAAATAGTGGAAAATTGTTTATTTACAAAAGACCACAGACCTTTTTGACCTTCATCAACATGCGTTCCCATCTGGGTTGATTAACGTTATATAAATAATATAAACGTTTTCTTCTCTCATCCGATTTATTGGTAACCATTTTTGATAAAAATTACTGCTTCATTTTCATCTCTTGCCATCTTTCTAGCCACTGATGTTAATAAAGATGATGATCAACAAAAGGAATTACAAGCACCAATAGAACAAAAAATAACCAAAAAGCAAAGAAAATAATTTGCAGATAACGGGGGTGAAACTAAATTGACCGAACCAGGACCAGATCTCTAAACATTTAGCTCATAAGCAACATTCATGCTTTGCAAACTTGCAGCTAAAAAATCTTATCTCAACCTGAACTTTTTTGAGTCTGGTAAAGCCTAAAATCTGTGAGTTTAATTATCAATAATTAGTATCAAGGAAAAAGACTCGTGTCTAATATTTACTTTTTTCAAATTACAGATCATCTTTACCTATCCTCGTGTCCAATAATTTAAAGAGGAAACATCGTTTTACTCGTTATTTACTTTCTTGGTAAAACAAATTGACTGCGAATCAAGAGCAATTAACTGTTGAAACTGTTCATTCTTCCTGGTGATTTTAGCACATTAGATCTCTTTTTGACCATTGAAGCATTCAGATTTTTGATATAACTCTAAACTCATAAAACTTTGGTCCAACCATGAACCATAAATCTGAATATCACTCAATGTTATCGTACGCGAGTTCCACATTATTATGATGGAAGAACAAAAAAACATTGGTGCTTGCAAACCTTTGTCTGAAGTTGGGAATCGTATGATCAAACCTTGAGAAGGACTCGAGGCTTTCTCATGTTTGAATAGCACTAAATGTAAATAAAAGAGAGAATACATTATAAGCAAACTCGTGTTCAAATTGAAACACTTTAATGCTTAATGTTTAGGAATTAATTTTTGCATAAAATTTTTATTGATGAGATATACTTAATTGATTTGAATATGATAGTGAGACAGGATGGCAAATTTTCTTATTTATTTTTGTCTGAATGCATATAACACACCACGAGTATATCATCTTTGTTGTAAACAACACAATTCAGGTTTACTCAGCATCAATATTCAATTGATTACAATCAACAAAAATTTTTAGTGTCGAGAATGTTTGTTCAAATTGGTTCTGTTCAAGCTGACTCATAATAAAAGCAAATAATTTAAGAATAAGTTTTAATGTCAAATGTGAAAATTCATTAAATTTTGTTTATTTAGCTGTTGTTTTTCAACTAATATGCAAATCATTCGTGAAGTTGATGTCACCCAATTTTTTTAACGAATTCCTCCAAAACTTATTTATTGAGCTTTTATACAGGGAGCAAAATCATCTAAACAATCATGAGTCATTTATCTAACGACAATGTTTGTTAAAGAAAAGGAGTAAACTGCATAAACATTTGAATATCGATTCGAGTATAAAAGTTGAATGCTACAGAGGCTAGGTACCAGTTGAAGATTTTCAATCTAAGCATAGTTCAGTTATTTCCAGTATACTTTGATTCAGTAGAAAATTAACCAGATAATAAAGATAACAAAGAGTGAAAATGGATTCGATCAGCATTTTAGTCTGTGTTTTCTTGTTGACAGTGATCACTGTCTTTGATTCTGTTTTGCTTTCACCTCTTCCAATAAATTTAGACGATCTGGACGTTTCGTCTCTCGGAAGTGAGCTCCAAAGAGCGTTAGCTGGAAAACTGGGTAACTATGGAGAAGGTTTACTCCGAACAATTGGCTCTCTACCGAAACGTACCGATCAAATTCTACATCTGCCTTGAAAGGATGTGAATTCGATGGTCGTTTTATCGGATAACATTGTACGAATAATGCATTCAAGTTGGCAGTTATATGCAAATAAATCAAATGTGTATTGTATCCATTATTACTTTTTAACTCTTGAAGTGTGTTCATTAAAACGATTAACTATTACTCAATTCGGTAAAAATTATTTAATTGTTTGGTTTTTGTGTGAAATTCATGGCCAATAATCATCGGAGCCTAGCAAAGCGTAGCGAAGATTTTAACTTGCATTAGAGCTAACTCAATTTCTGTTTCAATTTTTATGTTCTCGAACATCTCGGGAACAGCGCAATCAAATTTGATTATCCTGGGTATTAAAGGAAATTTTGAGGAACTGAGGTGACAATCAAAGCCACCAGAGGTCATTTATCAATTTTCGACCATTTATCTTCGCTTCCATGCAGATTCATTAATATATCACCCAAACCTATTTTTGAGATAAGATGGTTATTAATAGTGGATATTTTAGATAGTGTAAAATTGTTTAACAATTCGGTGCATTTGGGTGCTATATAATCTTATAAAAATGTTTGAAAATGTAGTGGATAAACACAAGATTTTACATGAAATCCTGTTCCAACAATTAGCTATCAACCTGAATAACAACAAAGTTTTGCCCTCTCTTTGCGCTTTACTCAAATAAATGAAATAAAATCAAACATCACTTTTTTGCAAACCATTTTAAGAAAAATTTAATAAGATAATCCACCAAATTACCTATTTTCGATCGATCACTTTACGTGATATAATGGCGATTAATAGTGGATGTGTTAGATGGTGGAAAAGTGCTGGAAATAGGTAATGAATAACTAAACAATAAAATGAAGCGATGAAAAGAAGAATAATTGCTAGAAACAATCCAGGTAAATTAGAATGATTTACAACAGTCATAATAGAATAATAATTTTATACAATTGACACAAAGCTGATCAAAGTAGATGTCTAATGAAAGGGAGAAAAGGATAGAAAGAGAGGTAAGAGCAGAATATGAAAACAGTTAACTTGAACTCGTGAGTAAGAACTAAAAATATAATCTGGAAAAGGCATGATGAACGATACAAACGATTCACTTTTTCCTCTTTTTTCTACAAGCATTGAATCAGATGAATCTGTAGTTACCAGACTGTATACTTTTCTGTGCATTGGTGCCATCTCTTGTTGATCAAAAAAAGACATTAATCTTGTTACGATCACAAGAATTCAGATAGTCATGGCATCTATCGAATAATATACCAACTGCGTAAATTCAATCAGGATCCAATCTGGTAAGGATCAGTCTACCGCAAAAAATTATGCACCATAAACTTAACTTCATAAAATCTTTCAGACCTAAGGAAAATGGTTTTGATTAAAACAAAAATATGTTTGCACATTTTGACAAGACACATGCCGCCACAAAATGAAATTGTTATTTTAATAAATCTAGTTTTTTGTCTGATAAACATGACTAATAAATCTTTTGATGTTTAAGTTTCATCTTGTTCCCAAATGCTTCGACCTGTTTAATATTTTATAACAATCAAGTGATAGACAGTTTAGAGCCGAGATTCAGGTTGTTTCAAAGGGAAGAAACGAGCTGAAAGAGTATCGGACAAATAAACTGAAAATTAGAAAACATCGAACCTTAAGAGTTTTAATTTCAGTCAAGAGTCCAGGAAAGGCTGAATCGACATTGGATCAGCTCAGTTTAACTATAAATGTTTTCAATGTCAATCGATTGTAAAAGTGTGTGTTTAATGGAAACATTGCTCACATGATCTACTGACAACTGATTCAGATTCAGACTAATTAAACCTTCCATTTACCAATTTATGATGCCATAAATAAACGATAAATTATGAAATAAACTTTTAATAATTACATTGTATTAAGTTGTTAATTTGTATTTCACTTCTCCAAACTTCGTTCTGCTTTAATTTCTTAATATTATAAGTTTTATTAATCTAGTGATTTGCATCAATTTTTCGATAGTATCTTGAGACAAATGTGAAGTTATTAATTTTGCACAATATTAACCAAAAGCTTGTTAATCTTGATACAATCGCTCTGGAAATTTACTCTGTTGAAATCTGTTGCACTGCAAGTTCCCGAATAATGTATCTGAGTAACATCTCTTATATATATCTGAAATGTACGAAATTGTATCATTAAATAGTTGAC